TTGCATCACTTGGATCATTAGAATGTAATTGTTGGGACGATTGATTGGTTGTCGGTGCAAGATAAAGTTTAGAACTTTTAAAATTACTTAATGAACTACTCATCGAGATGTAATGATGAAGAGTAATCTCTTTGAAAAGAGCAGTCATCCCACTCGATGTATGGCAACTATGAAGGTTACAGGTACAAAATTTAATCTGATCCAATTCTAGAGCTAAAACTGTATTAACATCGGTAAAATAAAGTGCAATTGAATCTAAATCAATTCGTACCATACGATATTTTAAATCTTCCGAGTAAGGGCACATTTTATTATCTCCCGAAGTTTGTGTTTTGGGACAAAGTGATTGTACCATATCATGGAGACACTTTTGGTAAGGTGTAGGAGGTTGAAGGGAGCAATCTTCTTGTACCACTTGGAGTAATAAAGTTTCCAAGCCAATAAATATCTGCTGAAATTGAGGTAAACTAAGACGACCCGATATCTCACCAAGATGAGCCTCAATTAGCCAAGCATATTCAAGAGTTTCAGAGTCAAGTGGCCTTTCAAGGCCGGAAAACATTGCATGTCCACGAAATTGTAACGAATCAAGAATTAAATGACCAGTATTGGAAAGAGTTCGATTACCTAAAGCAGTTGTATATTCGGGTGCATCAAGAATCAATGGTGATAATAATAATTGCATCTTTGTTTCAGAGTATTGTTTATCCATTTCAAAGGAAAGTCTCTCCAGGTAAAGGTAAGGACATGGAGGTGTATTTGATTTGGAATCATTTTCATCACAGCTTTTCATTATGTGTCCTTGAATATTATGCAAAGTAACGGAAACATTAACGGCTAAAGGTCGGTAAAGACGAGCATCAAATGGCTTATTGGCCTCACCATAGATTGATGATGGTTTACAAGGGGTTTTATTCAATTCATATGGTTCAGTGACACTTGGATTGGAATTAAAATCGGTAAAAGTTTGATACTCTCCGATATAATTTTCTTTAATATTCCATAGCATTCGGAATAATGTACCATAGAGACAAATTTTGGATGGGCCAACTTCGAGTTCAAGTTCAACAAGATCGGGATCCATTGAACCAGGATTAAAATCGGGTGGAATTGTTTTAGTAAATTTAGTGGAAGAGAAATTACTTTCTGGGCGAATTGGTTCAAGGAGAAGTTCCTCACGTTCGGGTGTAGTTATTTCGGAGGGTTTGGGTGTGGGTATTTTCGGTGGAACTGGATGATATGTGTAGGTTATGGAAAGAGCAACAATCCGTACGGACCAACAATCTATCCAACCATTGGCACGACTCACTGATCGGGACCATTTTTTATCACAAGAGAAAAGGTCAGAAGTTTTAATTGCAGTAAAATAGGGCTCCTGGTTTGAAGAGTTAAAAAGAGGTGGACAAAGTTTGGCATATTTATCTAACATATGAAGTGTCTCTCGGTGAGGGTTACACTCGGGAAGGTAAAGGGCAGCGTTTAAACTTTCACCTTGAATCCAAATTTTAATTGAAACGGTGGGTGGAAGAAATTCATCAAATGGTAAATCAAATGACATATCGTAAATATCGCCAACAATGGCAAGTTGAGCATTCTCACTGTTCAATTTGGATGAACAGTCAATCCAATTATATTCATTGGCCAAGGTAATTAATTCAAAATCAATCAGTTTAACGGAAAATTTCCATGTATATGGAATAAATGTAAGAATATCGGGTAAATCTTTACTTGCCCAATCGTCAATTAAATCACAGAAGAAAATTTTATGGGCAAAGATTAGGTCAACTGTCGCTTTACAACCAGTAAGTGAACATATCCAAGTTTGATGGTGATTCCAAATTCGGGGATAAAGTATTTTAAAATCAAATTCAAGGGTTTCACTTTCGGCAAGTGACCTAAAGTTTAGGTTTGTGGTTGCATCAAGGTGTAGAATTTGTCCCCAAATGTGAGATTGATAACCTTCCTCTTTACAAATCCATGGTATTGATATTTCCAGATAAGATCCTGGTCCAGCGTTAACATGAAGAGCTTTTGTCTCTTTCTCTTTCGTAATAAAAAGTATGTCAATAGCTGCATCGGCAAGAGTACTTAGCCGAATGTAAAAGTTTTCCGCTGTCCTCATCTCTCCAGGCTTAGGTTTAGCTGTTGGGATGATTGGCTGATAATCGGGAGGATAGAAAAAGTTATAAAGATGATCACGATTACGATCAGCCCAAGGTCCATAACCAAAATGAGTCCCCTTTCCACATTTAATGTCCAATCCCCAAGCGGGTGCAGTGAAATCGTGGATTACATCACCAGAGGACAGTTCAATTGGCTCTGGATCACTAGCTGCCAAACCGGGTTCATCTTGATAATAATATAAATCAATGGCGTTTGTCTGGAAAACCACAAAACCCTCACCCATAAATCGAGGTGGTTCTTCAACGATACCGATATATTTTGGACTAGGAGCTAAAATAATTTTATAACTTTCCGCTTTGGCTTTAGCTATGTGAGTGAAGAGATCGTGAGGTGAAACGGCAGGACGAGAGGTATAAGTAATATGACCTTCTTCAAATGTGATCAACAGGGTACTTGGAATAAGATGATTACCAAATACAAAACGACCGGTGAGTATTTCAATCTTTGTTAATGGGAAAAAATTTCTCCACAAATAGAAACTAATTAATTTATCATTATCTGTTGCCTTTAATGGTTGTTGTTGTTGTTGTGCAGTTGTCGTTGTTGTTGATGATGATGATTGATTACCTCCTGGTTCGGGAGGTGATTTACTATTACCAATTCCACCTATTCCACCGCCACCACCACTAATATCATCATAATCTGGATGAAATTTTGGTGGATTAATACCAAATAAACGTTCCAAATATGTATACATTTGAGATCTATTATAAATATGTAATTCAAATCCATTGAATAACATTGATAATCTTGCATCAGAATGACTGAAATCACTTTTCCGTATATCTCTTGGTTCAAATGGAATCCACCAACGAAGGATAATCCAACCATCTTGAATTCTCAATGAATAATCTGTTGTTATCCAAACAAGATCACGGAACATTATCTTGCCTGATATGAATGTAAGTGAAAATGAAGATACCCGGAAATAAGGTTGCTCGCATCTTTTGGTATCTGGATAAAGGTATCGAGCGATAATAAAATTGTTCACGAATTTGGTTAAAATGTAACCAAAAACTCTCGAATTATAATAAAGTGAATAAGTTAACCAAATTGTCGAGAGAAGAAGTAAAAACAGTAACCATGCAAAATCAGCATCAAGTGGAACCTCATCATAACCAATCGTCAAGTTGGGTAATAAACCTTTGAACTCCTTAAACCTAGAGACACAATTATCACGTGGAAATCCAATTTAGCACAACCATCATTCAAAAAGTAAAATGAAAACATGGAAGAGAAACAAAAAAAAACAATTAAAATTGAAAATTGACAGATGATGAGATTAAACCGATTGAGAAAATAGTAAACAACAATATTAACCACCGGTTTGATCTGAGAGTTTTGATTAGCAGGAAAATTAAGACAATTAAAACTTACACATCGGTTTTTTCCTCTTCACCATCATTACTTTTGTCTAAACTTCCAAATTGGAATACTCCTGAACTAGTCATCAGATAGGAAATTTGTTAATTTGTCACAATTTTTTCCTTCTCTAAAATCAAATGTCTTATTCACTGTTTTTTTCCCAATCTCTTACTCTCTTTTTCTCTCTCTTTTCTTTCAAAGTCTTTACTGAGAGTTTAATAAAAACACATTAAGGTATTCAGGTTAGAAAGAAAATTAACCAAAAAATAGAAATGATTAAACATTTATCACAATGATAGTAATTAAAATGACTAATTAGAAACAATTAACAAGAAGCAAAAAAAATTCAATCAAAAATAACATCGAGAAGATGAAAAGGTAAACACATTCACCAGGTGACGCTTTTTTCCTATGGAATGGCGGGTCTTTCAAAGAACTGAATTAACTTAATTAACTCAATTAGGAATAGAAATTAAATTAATTATTGGATAATACGATGGAAAATTGTTACTTTATTGATTAATTGTTGTGTAAATTGATCGGTAATGAGATTTGTGTTTAAAAATAGGCACGAAAATTTGAGAATTAATTGTTTTTCTCTCTGTGTGTCAACTTTTGATTAACTTTAATTATCTTAATATTTAATTGTTTAATTATCCGGAAGGAAGAGATTTGAAGATTTTTTTTTGTTTTGAAGTAAAAATAAAAAAGTTAAACTCTTATAACAATTGATTAGATTTTGACCTTAACTGTTTAATTAAGATTGACACTTAATTTAATTTCTTGTTCTTGATAATGTTTGTGATGGATTTTAACGTTCATAAGCAATTAATTGAAGTTGATTAACTGATTGGGTGACAATATACAAGAAAAAAAGGTCTTAAAGTTGATCAAATTAACTTGATTGTCGTACTATGTCAAAGGTGAGAAGGGAAAAAAGGTCCAAATTGCGAAAACGGAAGAAAACTTGACACAAGTCGATTCGAGAAAAAAAAAGTTCTAATAACTTTTTTTACTCTTAAACGAAATGTTGATTAAGATGATCAACGTTCAGACAGTTATTCAAGTTAATTACAATCGGATCAACCTTTAATTACTAGTTAATCAATAGCTGATGATTGTTAATTGACAAAAAATTAATTTCGAAACTTTTTTTTTGTTTCAACTTAACTTCAGTTTAGTTAACAATTAGTTTTCATTGTCGTCTCTAAATCTTAAATTGTTTCTCTATCATAATCAGTATATAATTTGTACTTTGACAATTATTAATTTTGTGGAGATGATTTAACTTAATTGTCTTGTAATGTAACCTCCCATTTAGATTGTAATTGTAAGTGAGATGATCAGAGTTGATTTCATCGAGAGTATAAAAGTTTGAAACAATCAGAATCAACGGAATCAGTTTCCAATCATCTGATCAATTGTTCAGATTAATCAATTGAATAGATAGAAATTGTCGTTAAACATTTGCTTCACAAACAATTAACTAATTGAGCAAACATGAGGCTATTAATTGTTTTATCGTTGGTCACACTTTATATTGTAGTGGTCACTTCATCATCATCATCATCATCATTGTTGCAAGAAAAATGTTCATCATCATCATGCTCATGAAGGTAAAAAGATTCATCATCATCATGGTCATCACCATGGACATCATCATGTAAGTTTTTTGATTAACCAATCAATTGAATCAATTTTGAACAATTGTCAACCTTTTTTTTTTTATTTGTTATCATGTTTTTGTTTAGGGACATAAACATGGTCATCATCATGGTCATCACCATAAACATGGCGGCCATGGTCATGGTCATGATAGTCATGGTTGGGGCTGGAATGGTTGGTCAGGATGGGGACATGGTGGTGGTCATCATGGTCACGGTGGTTGGGGACACCAAGGATGGGGTCATGGTGGTCACGCTCATGCCGCTTTGTCACATGTAAGTTAATCAATTAAACTTTTACCAAACAATCAACTAATTTGACACAATGTTTTCCCCAATTTCAACACTTTCAAGGGCTGGAACGGAGGTTGGGGCCATGGACATGGAGGTTGGGGACATGGATGGGGTTGGTGGTAAAAGCAAACTGACCACTAGAAGTGACCATAAGTTCAACTTTAATATTATATGTAACATATTAAACTCTTTCCCATTGTAATATATTCAAAAAAGTTATAATAATTTTCTCAATCTGAACATAATTTGTATTAAATTTTCATTCCATCATTACATAATTAACTAATTCTATTCTATTCTTAATTGTTGTAAATTTTGTCTTTTCTTTTGTTAATAGTTTTCAATTTTTCTTCTATTTAAATTAACCGCCAATAGAATCTGATTTGTAAACATTGTCAATGTTTCCATTTGTTGATCTTTTGCCACGAAACAGGATTCATTTAGTTAATTAAACTTTAATCATTTTCTATTAATTTTATTTTAATTGTTCTTTCAATTATTTCAATTAAAGTCTCTCTATCACAATGGGTGAACCTTCTCGAGCCAAGATTGAAACAATGTCCGCCGAGGTAAACGATATGAACCCTTACAGGTTAGTCAATTGTTCATTCACTGAATTTTGTTTAATCACAACAATCAATTTAATTTCTTTCTCTCAAATATTTTTTCTAATTAATACTATTCTATGTTTCGACGTTGTTTTACATTATTAGTCGACTGATGGCTCTAAAAAGAATGGGAATTGTTGAAAATTATGAGGTGAGTTTCTTAATCATATGTTAATACCTGAGTAAATTACAATTACATTAATATTAATAATAACATTTAATTTTTGACAATGAAATTGTTTGATTTAATTGTTTACATAGAGAATACGATCTTTTACCGTTTTAATTGTTGGTATTGGTGGTGTTGGTTCTGTATCCGCTGAGATGTTAACTCGATGTGGAATTGGTAAACTGATTATGTTTGATTACGATAAAGTTGAATTGGCAAATATGAATCGTTTATTTTTCCAACCAAATCAAGCAGGAATGTCAAAGGTTGAAGCTGCTTCAAAAACTTTATCGTTCATCAATCCGGATGTTGTATTTGAAAGCCACAATATGGATATAACCAAGGTGGATAATTTTAATCACTTTCTTGACAGAATAGCCAAAGGAGGATTAGGTGATAAAAAAGTTGACCTGGTCCTTAGTTGTGTCGACAATTTTGAAGCAAGAATGGCGATTAACACTGCTTGTAATGAAGTGAATCAAATTTGGTTTGAATCGGGCGTCAGTGAGAACGCTGTTTCAGGCCACATTCAGCTGATCGAACCCGGAAGAACCGCTTGTTTTGCCGTAAGTAAATTTGCAGCCTTCTAAATGATAACCGATAAATTATCCTCTCTCTCTCTCTCTCCTATTAATCTAGTGTGCGCCTCCCTTGGTAGTCGCTTCCGGAATCGATGAGAAAACACTGAAAAAAGAAGGTGTTTGTGCCGCATCTCTACCGACGACCATGGGAATTGTGGCCGGTTTTCTCATTCAAAATGTTCTCAAATATCTTCTCAATTTTGGTTCGGTGACCGATTACCTGGGCTACAATGCGATGCTCGATTTTTTCCCGACCATGTCAATGAAGCCAAATCCAAATTGTGATGATCCAAATTGTGTCACTCGTCAAAAGGAATATCAACTTAACGAATCAACTAAACCTAAAGTCGAAATACCAATAGAAGAACCGGAAATTGTTCATGAAGAAAATGATTGGGGAATTTGTTTAGTCGATGAATATGTTCCCGAGGCCGATGAAGTCGAAGTTGCCCCGGGGGTTAAATTACAATATACGAAGGATGAACCATCCGTTCAAGTTGATTCGAAAGATACTGTTCAAGATACTGAACAATCGTTGGAAGAATTAATGAATCAAATGAAATCTCTTTGAAAATTATTCGAAATTTTTTTTACTCTCTCTTTAAATCAATTGGATTCCAATTTATATTCTATCATTTCTGCCAATACGTTTACCAATAAGATGATTATTATCAATTATTTTTGTTTCTAAAATTTAAAACTCAACTTTGTTCATCATCTGATTAATTTCTCAGTATTAATCAATCGTTTCGAGGTCGAAACAAATTTAAATTGTTTGTCTTGCAATTTATATAAATTTATTTCTTTTTGGAAAATATAAAATAAAAACATTTACATTGAAAAAAAATCTTGATTGGAAACAATTGTAATTGTTTTTAATCAGTTGATTTCTTTTGATCAAAACTTGTTACCTTATCTTCATCGTCTTCATATGTTTCTGTTGATTCATCTTGTTTGCATCTAATTGCGAGTAAAATAGGACCAATGGTTAAGATTAAGTTAATTGACCAGAATAAAAGTTGTGACATAAAATCAGAGGGCACCCTAAGTATATAGGGTGTTCTTGAATGGAAAGATGAACCAATATGAGTAAATTGGGCAGCAATAACAGCTCCAGCCAGGAATGCACTTAGTTTGGACATTGTTTGATTATTAGTACAACGATTAACAATTAACCGGTTAATTGCATACAAATAAAAGGGTAAATAGTAAAATAAATAGATAATCATTTGAATTTTAGCAAAAGGTGCTGGAGTTGAGGATAACAGGTAAGGTTCAACGGATTTTGTATAACTGGTACACAACCAAAATGGACTGTCCAGAACAGCAAGGCCACGAAGAAGAGTCATCAAAGTCGATAGTAAAAATATAAAACAAAGTATTAGGTCAAAAGGCCGTTTCCATATGAAATCAATTTCATCTGATTGATTTTGTTGGTTAATTGTGGATTTGGTGGTTTTCCTTTGTTTCTTGATTAAAACACAATAGGCCATGTGACAGGGAACAAATATAAATGGTAAATACATGAGAAAACCTCCATTAAGGCCAGTTTTACCGACCATAATACCGATCAATAAAACGAGGCTATTATTCAACCAAGAACCAAGCCAAAAGCATAAAGTATCGGTGTAATCATTGCTATTGGAAAAAAATAAAGAGAAAGTTTTGTTAATTATAAACAATCAAAGAGATACGAAAAAAACAAACACAAACCATTTAAAAACCTAACCAGAATTTATCTGTTTACTCACATTGAGTAGTAATCAAGGTAACAATCTAATAGCTTAAATAAATCATCATATTGATTTAGTAATACATGTATTAAAAATAATCTACATCAAGGAAAATATTATCTTTTGGAAATCACCATTATCAAAATAACACAATTAATTGCTAATTAATTGTATTAGCTACCTATTGATTAACATTTGCTTAATGACAAAGACTCTAGAGAGAGAGAGAGTTAATTAATCAATTAAGCTGATTAGTTGAAGAATAAAAAACTCTTGAGTTGATAAAATCAAAGGCACAACAAACGGAATGAAAAGAAGAAAAGAAATTAGGTGACCTTGTCATTGGATATAATATATTGTTCTGGTGATTATTTTTAATTGTTGACTCGTTGAAACCATTTTTATAGTTAATTACCTCCATGTAATAGCAGCAACAATCATCAAGGCTAATGCATGATTAACAATTCCATTCCAATGGCAGATCATGGCTCCAAATGAAGATCTTAAATGGGGTTCTCCATGTTTAAGAAAAGAATTGGTGAAACCTGAGATTAAACTTTCCAATTCCAGTGCTATAATTAGACAGGAAACACTAATGAAACAAATTGTTCCAAAAACTAGAAGATAAATGAAAAAGGAAAACAACAATTAAAAATGAGGAAAGAATTTTTTTATATAAAAATTATAGGAACAAATTAACTACCGTTTTGACAATGTTATTGGTTTCAACTTACTGTAAAAAGGGTAACGATTGTTTCTTGGGACACCATTACGAGTAGACTTGATTATGGTGATTAAAACTAATCCACCAATTAGGATGGTCAGTAAAGAGATAAAAAAAGGAGTTATCCCGCTTTTATCAATCAAACGGTTGATCACATAGATTAAAGGAATGGAATAAGTTGATGTGATGAAAACTTTGGTGGCAACAGAAAAAGACATGATCAGTTTAAAGATACCGGATGGAATTTAGAACAAATCAATTCAGATGATGTTGGAATCACAATTAAAATTCACACCCAAACACCAAGAAGAAGGCAAAGAAAAATAAACAAAAGTAAAAATTGTAAATGGAAAATCAAAAAGAGAACAAAATAAAAAAGAATTGAATTGAAAACAAGAAGAATAATTAACAGAAATTAATCACATTAGGTAACCAGTTAATTCGTTCAACCGGTCAACTCACATAGTGGAACTAAGAAGGAAATTCTTTTAATCCATGTTAATCTCTAATTCCATGGATTTAAATGAACGACACGAAGTAAAAAAAAAAAGAAAATGTCTTCACATGATGTTTGTTGTTGTTCAACAGAAGGAGAGGAAGAGAGAGAAAGAAAAGAGAAAAGAACAAAAAGAAAGAGAAAAAAAATTCTCTTCTCTTTCCTTTCTTTTTTTCTCATAAACGTAAACTCAATTTTCTGTTACTCTTGATTAGAGTTGTTGATTCTTGTTTACCTTTTTCTCTCTCTAATTTTGTTAATTTTATTTAGAATTTAATAATTTAATGTGTAACCCAAACAATCAACAATCTTTTTAATTGTTTCTCTGGTTTAATCTGAGAAAGAAACACAATTTAAGTGAAAGAGAGAAAGTGAAAGAGACAACATGTGAATCAAGTGATACGTTTTCTTTTTGTGTATCATTACCTTTATTTTTGTTTTCTTCTTGTTTTCATTTGATTTTTAATTATGTTGAACAATTAAATTCTATTCTTTCTAAATTGTTACCATTATGGCTTACCTGAGGAGTTCTCGTAATTATGTTTGGAATGTGAATAATGTTCTGGGCAAAGGGCTACTGGGGCAGTTTATTCGGGTGTCAATAAGTATACTGGTGATCCTGTTGCGGTGAAATCTTTTAATCATGCCTCTCATATGAGACCTTATGAAGTTCAAGAGAGAGAATTTGAAGTTCTAAAGAAAGTAAATCATCAGAATATTGTTCGTTTAATTGCCATTGAAGAAGAGGTAAGTTCAATTAGACTAATCAACAACAATAAGAAAAAAATTGGACAATTTTCCTGGTCATTTCTGTTTCTCTTTCTCCCTATACATTTACTATTGTTATTATGAGAAGTGTCCATTTTAAAACTATCAACACCTTAAGCGTATAAGGAAGTGTTTCATTTAATTTTACCTTTAGAATCAATTTAGGTCAATCTATAATTATTTCTGGACATCGTCAGGTTTTAAATTGTTACGTTAAACTTGTCAGGCCTAAAACTTGAGATGTTCTTGTCTATATAATTTGAGAAAAAAAAATCTACTCATCCAAAAGTCTTTTGTTTACAATTAAATTTTAGAGGACAAGTTAACATGTAATTAACATTATTATTATTATTGAATCTTCCATAGAATGAATCTCACCATAAAGTATTAATCATGGAACTTTGTACTGGAGGAAGTTTATTCAATATTCTTGATGATCCAATTAATTGTTATGGTCTTGAGGAGAAAGAGTTTATTGCTGTTGTCAAACATTTAGGTTTGTATTGATTTTGACACTCGATCTTGTGATTTATTCTAATTTTATTTTCTAAATCATTTAGCTGCGGGTATGAAACATCTAAGAGACATGCACATAATCCATAGAGATTTAAAACCAGGTAATATAATGAAATTTATCGGTGAAGATGGTATTTCGATTTACAAGTTAACGGATTTTGGTGCTGCTCGAGTCTTGGAGGATGATCAGCCATTCATGTCACTTTATGGAACTGAAGAATATCTGGTAATCTTATTGATACCATTATCATTTTTACAATTTTCTACTGTCTATGATTGATTGATTCTAACTTTCAATTTTCTATCAGCATCCCGATATGTATGCACGAGCCGTTCTTCATAAATCAGCTGGTAAATCGTTTCGTGCCAATGTTGACCTTTGGAGTATTGGAGTTACTCTTTTTCACATAGCAACTGGATCTCTACCGTTTAAACCTCATGGAGGAAGAAAAAACAAAGAAACTATGTAAGAAATTTTCGATCAAATTATTCCAATTCGTAACAATTATTATTAACTTCATTTTCTAATGTAAAACTTTAGGTTTAAAATAACAACAGAAAAACAATCAGGAATCATCTCGGGATATCAACATACAGAAAACGGTGAAATCGTTTGGAGTCGAAATCTCCCGCAAACTTGTCTCCTTAGTCCGTAAGTATTAATAGCAAGTAAATTGTAATCAAGAGTGATAACTATATTATTATATTTCTATATTTAGAGCTATCCAAGGATTGATTGTTCCTTTATTAGCTGGAATTATGGAATGTGATTCTCATAAAATGTGGTCGTTCGAAAAATTTTTCTCCACCGTAACTCATGTTCTATCTCATAATGTACTTTATATTTTTTATATCAATCATATGGAAGATGTGGTAATTTATCTTCATCCATCCGTAGGGTAAGAGGATAATTTTTAATTACAATCATTACAATATTTTTTAATAATTTCTCTCTCTCACTCTCTGATTGGTTGCTTTTAGAACTCTTAACGATTTAAAACATAATTTGGAAACTAAAGTATCAATTCCAGCCAAAAGTGCACTTCTCCTTTGGAATAAGCAACAAATCCATGATCTATCGGAAGTTAATTGTTCACCAGATAATCCAATTTTACTTCTAAATTCCGATGTAACCAAATTAAAGCCAAGTCCTTTATTATCGAAACAATTACCGAAATTTCCAGTTATGCATACAACATTAACCAATCTCGAAGAAGATGCTCAAAAGTCTAAAATTTGTTCCTCTATAGCTTATGCATATTCCAGAGCTATCGAAAAGTGTGTTCTCTATTATCAATTAGCCAACATAACTCCAATGCATGTTATGTAAGTGTAACAATTAACGTTGAATTTATTGATACAAAATTTATTTGATGTTCTAATTTGATTAACTTTATGTTTCAAACTTTTTTTCAGATCACTGATTGATTCCAATTTGCGTTTACTTACTGAGAAACAACAAGCTTGCTCCCATTTTTTCAACTCATTAACACACCAATTGGCTTATTTCAGTGATGTAGATGATTATCTTAAACATATCGCTCAACTATTAAATTTGGAGGAATCTGTTAGCATTAATTTTGAATCAATGGCCAAGGGTCACATATTGTTTGAAAGTTTATCTGATTATTCATCAACTTTGATGCCCAAGATGACATGTATGAAGGAAAATGTTAAAAATCTACAAGAAGATTGGTATAAGATGAACAAATCGACGGGTGAAGTGGACATTGAAACAGCTAAATCAAGGTCAAAATATTATTCTCAAAAGATTCGTGAATCTTGGCAATTATTGCATAAAGACAAAGCAGCTCGAAATTTAACTGTGGCCGAAGATCAACTTCACCAATTGGAGAAGGTTAAAATTGATACTAATTCTAAAAAACTGAAAGTTCTAATGGAGGATATTTGCTGTACTGCGCTGTCAGAGATTACAAAACGACTCGAAAATTGGTACACTGGTGCTCAAGTTGCGCTCAAACAATCGGAATGTTTATTTAAAGAGTTCTCAATATTTACCAATAATTGCGAAGAGTTACAACAGTGTTTGAATAAAGTTCGAGATGATCAGAAATGCCTTTGGCAAATTACGTTTAAAAAGATTGAACCCAAAATGAAGGAATCAGTCGTTTCATCGTCGACAATCAATTTGACGGAAAAATTGGCCGATGGTCTGAATGATGGTACTCGAGATTATCGAAATCTTCAAAAGTTTCTAAGAGAGTGAGTATTTGTGTTCGATAAATTTCGAAGTCAACAATTAATGACAATTTAATTTCTATCCACAGATACGATGAGAAAAGAGAAAGGTTTTTCTCCTTGGTTGAAGAGAATCGAAATCTAGTAAATGAGTGAGTATTAATGCAACAATTAACTGAACCAATTTTTATCTCAATTAAATAATTTTTTTCTTCTTCAGATTCGAATCAATTTCATTAAGAGATAATCAACAATAAATCGATGTGATAATCAATGTTTACTATTAAATTCCTGTTCACCTGATGGATAAAAATACTGGATTAACGATTAATATTAATCATAGATCTGAATTTTCTCTAATTATTAATCATGATCATGGTTTTTACAATTGCCTTCTTATTGATTTTATTAGATTGTTAACAATTATTACAATGATTAACTTTACCTGATTTTCCAAGAGCAAAATCAACACATTAAGCATAACAATAATAATTTAATTGTTGCCTTATAGCATTTAAATTTGGATTCAATTCCCGTTAAATTGTCTTTCCATTTAATCATTCTGCAATTAACTAATCATTCCCAATTAATTTTTGGTGTAAATCTTCATCTTCAATTTTACCTGATAAATTGAAAACACAAAAAATTATCAATCAAAGTAAATTATCAATTTTACTTTGAACAATTCAAAATAAAAATAAAAATGCAAATCTAATGATCTAAATTATGATCATCACTAATTAAACTGTTATCCAATTCACCGAAACATTTACATTGTTTCTCAATTTCCTGAGATTAGAAACAATTTATCATTGGAAAATTATTCTAACCAAGAATTGAAAATCAATCAATGGCTAATTGTTGTTGATTAAGATAAATGATATGATAAAATTGAAAAAAAAATTAATAATAAAACAAAAAAGATTAAAATTGAAATACAATATGATTCATATGTATGGATATCATGAAATTCATCATGAATTTTTTTCAGGTCAATCAACTCAATCAGTTGAATGAAATCCATAGACTCAGTCAGAGATTATTCAACTTACATGGTAAACAATTTTCTATCTATTCCATCAGAAGATTAATCAATTGAAACAGAATTTCAAATCTTTCGAACGATTAAAATTCTAGGAAAATTGGAAAGGTGAACAATTAACCTGATTGATTGTCATTGGAAATCGAAAGTGAATTACAATTAGAACAAAATTTGATTACAATTAACGAAGTACAATAAGGTAACTGTAAGAAAATTAGAGTAAAAGAGATAATAGAATTTTCTTTTTGCGCCGTCGTCGATTCCTCTTCGAACCAGGAACAGTTCTTGAACCCAGAATTCGAGAGAGTTACCTTTCTGATCATCATCATCTTCTTCTTCTCTATCATCCTCATCATCCTTTCGAATTCTCTTTCTTCTCTTCTCATCTCTTTCTTCAGTACAACAAACTCCAAGTCACTTGTTATTAACCAGGGATAAAACTCCCAACAGTTTTTGATACAATTCTTACTCCCAGTTATTAATTGTTGTTAATTTCTCGATAAATATTAAATTGTTGTTGATTCTATGATAAGTGAAGAAAATATCATTAATAGTAATCAACAAATTAAATTGATGAGGAAAAATATTGTTTCAACTTTTAATCGTTAATTTATTTACCCGTTTTCTAATTGTTGATTGTTTTTCGTTTAAAATTTGTTACCTTGTTAATTGTTGGTTAATTTAAATGATGGATTATCTATTTCAGGTGATTTATATTATTGATAATATGTTCAAAGTTATTGATGATCAACAATTATCAACAATTTCATCTGAGATTAAGTTTAATCTCAATAAAATGTTTCTCATGACAATTTAATCGTCAAAATCGTTAAAATCTGAAACAATTAATTTCATCAGATTTATCTGAGTTAATTGTTAATACAATAAATGTGATCAAGACAATTTTTCAATCAATTGTGTTCAAGAAAAAGCAATGATTTGTCAAGCTCAACATTCAACCACCAACAATATCAAGGTAATCAGCAAAAATCCAAGTAATTGGGATAATAATAACAACAATTAACAGTATAATAATAATTAATAGTAATAATAATAACCACAGTTAACAGAAAGCAATCAACGTTATTCAATGTGTTCCAATCATCATCATCTTCATAAGGATAGTGAGGATTAAATTCAAAAGGATTAATAAAAGAAACAAAAACCAAACGCTCAAAAATTGAACCAAATTAACGAGTAATAAACCAACAGCAATCAACAATTAGCCACAATTGACAAATTAACAAGAAATACGAAAACTTAATTCTCGCTCATTGCCAATCAATCTGAAAACGATTGAAATCCAAAGGTTACAACTGAACAGCAATATTATCCAATAATTCCAGTTAAACAAATGTCCAGGTAAGTAGTTGATTAGATTATCCAATTAGTGGATTAACAAGATTAACTAATTGGAAAAGGAAAAGAGATAAAAAGTCATTTGAAACACAAAACAAATAAAAACTCGGAATAATCAATACATGGAAAAATTTCTCTCTTCTTCATGGATATGGAAATTGAAAAATCATCTCTAAATATTGAATATTGAATAGAGTTAAATTCAATCAAGAATCGTTCATCTATCAATTCAACCGAAAGTCTCAAAAACCATGAAGAGATAGATAGAGAGAGAGAGAAGCTGAAGACACTGAGAGAATCAGAATTCTCTCTAGGTACACTTATACTTACCATAGAGCTGTTGAGCTCAATTTCCTGAAGTTTCTCATGTTATCGTCTCCATCCTCATCCTAATCATCATCACCATTCCCAGAGTTAGTCCTGAGTTCTGCTCAATTCAATCCAAATGTGTTCGAGGATGTTAACATACAATATTATCGATCGGGTAAATATCTCCATGTGACCTGATTTCAGGTTTCAACTGAAAAAGGAGGAAAAAAAATGAAAGAAACAGAATATGAATCAGTTTAGTAGAAATAGAATATAATCCAAAATAATATAATAACAGTGAAAAGAAAACAAGAGAGGAAAAAAAATGATCACCACCGAGAAGAGAAAAGAAAAAATGTTTTCTTTTCCACCAACGGTTACACATGATGAAAAGAATAGAATGAGAAAAAAAAGAGAGAGATACAGAACAAATTCTTACCTTTTCCAATGAGATTAATCAAAAATTGTCTCCTTCGAATTACCATCACAATTAGAATGACAATTAATTGGGCGAAATAAACAAATAAACAAATTGTCTCTTCTTCTTCACAATGTTAACCCTTTGGCTTTTTTGTTTCTTCCTTAGCAACAAGTAACATGGTTACCATTTGAATCTTTTCCGTTGTTGTTGTTTGTTTGTTTTCTTCTTCTATTTCTTAATTGTAACTAATTCGTTCGCAATTGTTGTCTAATTAACTTCCAACAATTTGTTAACTTTTCTAATATAAAATGTACATACCTGTTAATTGTTAATCTTTTCTCTGTAAATTAATATTTGGTGTCCATTTGTGTCTTTGTTTTGATGAACCGTTTTCCTTTTTTTCACCAAAAAAGGTAAAAAGAGAAAAGAAAATTTTTTTTTTCTCTTTCTTTTTTCTTTCCTCTTTCTCTGTTTCTCTTTGTAAACAAAATTGATTATCTGGATTAACTAATCTGGATATACAACTAACTCCTCTCCAAATGAGCACAAGGAACCGCCGTTCAAGTAATCGTAACAAACCATCATCATCACCAGCAACCGTTGACCATCAGCTCGCCAATAGTACCAACAATTTAAGTGATAATAAGACAACAATTAGGATTAAGATTGAGGATATTAAGGAAAGCAAATCCATTGACCATTTAGCTAATTATGATCAACATCACCATGAAGAAGTTACATCAACAACAATAATTGATTCTCATCACCATCATCATCATCAACATCATCTAACCAATAATAATAATAATAATATCCATCAACAGCTTATAGTTAATATCAAAGATGAAATTGATGATAAAGTGAATTTGAAAAAATCAATTGATAAATTAATTATCAACAGTAATAATAATCATGCAACTAATAATATCAATTCTTTGCATATAAATGATAATATTATCAGTAATCATGAAAATAAGTTGATCTACACTAATGAGATTAGTAATGATAACAATCATGATAACGATGATAATGATAATAAGGATAACATTTATACATTAAGTACAAAAGATTTCACTTTAATTAAAAGGGAATCGCCAACAACAATTAACGATACAATTGTTGCAGTGGTTCCAGTTATTCAAACGATTACTGGAACAGGTAATCAAGTACAAATTCAACCGCAATCAACAACATCAATATTTAATCGCGATCAATTAGCTTCACATCAAACAACAACAACATCATCATCATCAAGTATCATCAACACACCAACAGCATCAACATTAATTCATGAAGAAATAACCAAAGCCTTGGCGATTAACACAAAACCGCCATTAAGGGTAATCGTTACAACAGATACTCGACCAGGACCAAGTGGATTAACATCAAAATCATCATCAGCAACATTATCATTAACAACAACAATCTCAGGTAAGAATAATAAACATTTAAAACAATCGAAAATGATACAAGAAAAGAAAACAAGTTTTTCCATCAAAAATCAATGTGTCATCAATATCAGAATGGAAAATCATCTTAGAATATAAGGAAGGCTTTAGAATTTTTTTTTTCTCTTCGCTTTTTCTTCAACATAAAACTTTTTCTCTCTCTCTCTTTCTCTTTATCTTCATCTTTATCTTTATCATCATCATCATCATTATCTTAACATCATCATCACCATCATTTCTCTACTTCTTCTCTCTTTTTATGCTTCTTCTACTTCTCTGTGAAAGTACAGCTACCCCACCAGTTAAAGTTCATTCAACCCAAACACCATTTTTCTTTCTTCTCTTTCTTTCTATCATTTTCTCTTCCTTGGCAGTTTCTCTTTCTCTCTCTCTCTCTTTATCCCCCCTTTCTTTCCAGTTTCTCTTCTTCTTCTCAACTCTGTCTACCTTCTCTGTCGATTCTCATCATCATCATTTTCATCATCTTCTTCCCTGTTCCTTGTTACTACTACATGTACATGCGTGCATCTGTTGTATAAGACACATAACTTTACATTCTCTCTCTCTTTTTCTTTCTCTCTCTCTCTCTCTCTTTATTTCTCTTTCTCTCTTTTTTACCCGGGCAAATATTATCACTCTCTTTTTCCACCTCCCTCTCCTCCTCTCTTGCTCTCTTTCACTCTTTCACTCTCCCACTCTCTCTCTCTCTCTCACCCTTCTTCGCCTTCACCTTCGCTTTAACCTTAGCCTTGTTGATTCGATTTCGTCGTTCTCTCTCTCTCTCTTCTAACCTTAACTTTGAAAAGAAAGTTTTTCTTTTCAAAAAATATCTTTTCTCTCTTACTTTTTATCATCAATCCTCTTTCTTTCTTCCATTTTTCTTATCTCCAATCATCTTTCATCTTTCTTTTTCTCTCTATTTATTGTCTGTCTATCTTTTGATATTTATCCTCCCAGACATTATTTTATCACTCGTATCACTCAGATCAACAACTATATAAAAGTTTATCAATCGTACGATAAATAAAATGATATCAAACACATGATAAAAAAAAGAGATAAACATCAAAATGATATTGATAATCTTTACCTCGGATAACCAAATGAGATTTGAAAACATTGCCAAAGAAAAACTTACAAATCTAATAAAACGAATAGAAAACAAAACAAAATAGTGAGAGAGTAAGAGAAAGAGAAAGAGAGAGAAGATTAAACTGTTTCTTTCTTTCTATCATTTTCTTCCTTGGCAGTTTCTCTTTCTCTCTCTCTCTCTTTATCCCCCCTTTCTTTCCAGTTTCTCTTCTTCTTCTCAACTCTGTCTACCTTCTCTGTCGATTCTCATCATCATCATTTTCATCATCTTCTTCCCTGTTCCTTGTTACTACTACATGTACATGCGTGCATCTGTTGTATAAGACACATAACTTTACATTCTCTCTCTTTTTCTTTCTCTCTCTCTCTCTCTCTTTATTTCTCTTTCTCTCTTTTTTACCCGGGCAAATATTATCACTCTCTTTTTCCACCTCCCTCTCCTCCTCTCTTGCTCTCTTTCACTCTTTCACTCTCCCACTCTCTCTCTCTCTCTCACCCTTCTTCGCCTTCACCTTCGCTTTAACCTTAGCCTTGTTGATTCGATTTCGTCGTTCTCTCTCTCTCTCTCTCTCTTTCTAACCTTAACTTTGAAAAGAAAGTTTTTCTTTTCAAAAAATATCTTTTCTCTCTTACTTTTTATCATCAATCCTCTTTCTTTCTTCCATTTTTCTTATCTCCAATCATCTTTCATCTTTCTTTTTCTCTCTATTTATTGTCTGTCTATCTTTTGATATTTATCCTCCCAGACATTATTTTATCACTCGTATCACTCAGATCAACAACTATATAAAAGTTTATCAATCGTACGATAAATAAAATGATATCAAACACATGATAAAAAAAAGAGATAAACATCAAAATGATATTGATAATCTTTACCTCGGATAACCAAATGAGATTTGAAAACATTGCCAAAGAAAAACTTACAAATCTAATAAAACGAATAGAAAACAAAACAAAATAGTGAGAGAGTAAGAGAAAGAGAGAAAGAGAGAGAGAAGATTAAACTGTTTCTCTTTCTCTTTCTATCTTGTCTGTCTATGTAACCATTTGTTGTCTTATTTTCTCTTTCTCTCATCATCATCATCATCATCATCTTACTTTCTTACTTTAAAAACATATAATCTCTTTCCTCTCTTTCAATTTTGCTCTCTTTACTCTCTCGTTCTGTTTCTTGTTTCTCTCTCTCTTTCTCTTTCTCTCCCTTTCTTTTACTCTCTTTTCTCATCTTGTTTTCATCATCATCTCCCTCTCTTCCTTATCTTCTCTCTCCCTCTATCACTCCAGTAACTTTCGTTGTTGTTGTTATTACAACCTAACCTCACCGAAACTTCACAAACTTTTGTGCCTTTTCTGTGTTGATCAAACCAACAATTTCATTCTTATTCCAAACTTTCATCCACCATCATCTTTTTTACATGTTGACATTTCCACGAAAAAATATATTCCATCCTCATCACTATAACATTATCATTATTTACCGTTAATTTATTTACAAGAATATTTTTACTTTTTCACTTTTTGTTTCCTTTACTTTCCCAAGCAAAAAAAAAACACGCAACTTAATGTTCAGTGAATGTAACTTTTACTCTGTGATAATATTGCCTTATTTTTATACATATTATCATCATATTTCATCATCACAGATCAGCTGATTTCCAATCATTGAATACGACCAATAATACATTGTCATCACCTTTTTTTTTTGTGTTTTTTTTTGTGTGTGTGTGAGTGTTTGTAAGCAAACTCATCCTCATCATCATCAGTCACTCTCATCAACATTATGACCACATCTATGTTGAGTCCAACCTGTAAGTTTTGTTAAATGAAACATGTAAACAAATCTATCAACATCTCATCATCTTTATCATCATCATCATCTCCATCTTCATCTCCATCGTCAATATTTTGTTACCTGTCTTGTTGTCGTTTTGATTATCATCATAATTTAATTTTCACGTTAATTGTGTTGATTTCTTGCTGACGGATAATCAATAATTTTTTTTTGTCTCAATCGGTTGATTATTAGTTGATTATTAATTATCATTATCTTTCAATCTCATTCATTTTCAATATCAAGAAATTGTTTCCTAACTGGATTAACTTTAAGCTTTAGTTGATTAGTGGTTTCTTTTAATCAACTTTACCAACTTATTTCCTGGTTATATTACAATTAAAACCAAAGGAAATTGTCAAAGTAATTTATCAATCAAATCTTTATTTATTATTATTAACAATTATTGCAACTTAAATCTAGATGATTTATTTTTCTTTAATATTTCTGATTATGATTAACATTATTATATTCAATTGTGTTGATCGTCTTAAATTGCTTAATCTTAAAACTAATCATAAAAAAAGGTAAAAACCTTAATCATCACTAATTAGATTCAATCTTTCAGAGTTAATCATAAAAAAAAAGTCTTAAACCAAAAATGAGATTAAGAGTAACTAATTGATTAGTAATGTTAATTAGTTTATTAGATTATCAATGAAAAAAAATTTACTCCATCATGATTGACATGTTTAATCAATTGATTACGATTTGGATTAATTGATTTTGCCAAAATTAAAAGGTGACAATTTGATTCACTTGAATTGTAATCCTAATGAGATTTACTTTTGTTTTTTTTTTGCAAATCAAATGCTCACAGTTTATTTTAATTTAGTTTCAATTAAACTGAATTAAAAACAATATAACAGTAAAACTAATTTGCAAAAAGTAATTCAGTATTATCACCATCCCAGCATGATGATTATTTCAAGAAATCAAGTAATCATCAAGATGATAATAAGATGATGAGGATAAGGATGAAAGATTGTTGATTATGTTAATTTCCCATTATTTTCCCAGTAAGAGGTTTTTTTTGTTGTTAAATTACAACAATTTAACTTACAATTTATTAACCATTATCATTATTAATGTATTAGAATGTTAGTTAATCAATAGTTTCTCTCAATAGTGTATATATCTTACACAATCAACGACAGACAATTAATAAATTGTTACCAATGATAGAAGACGATAAACTTAAATCAACATGTTTTCCCAGTGAATTGAATTGACAACCATGAAAGATATAATATCTCATGAAGATGTTGAACAATCTGATTGCTATTCATTGGAATTGAATTGAATTGAATTGCAAAATGATTTAAAATGTGTAACAATTAACTTAATATTATCATATAATAATTTAAATGCAATTTGCTTACCAAAATTTGCAAATTGTTTCAACTACTACTACTATTTAATTAGTTAATTGCTGTTGTTGTGCAAGAAAAAAGTTTTTCAAACTTTAACTTTTCTCTTGAGCAAATAAAACACAATCAACAAAATACTGACCAATGATGAAAAGTTGATCTTCATTTTTTTTAGACGAAGATACAATTAGTTTATTACGATTATGATAATGATAATAGGATTGCCTTAAGGTAAATAACAATCAAAAAGAAAAAAAAACTAATCAACTAACTAAGGTAAATGATTAACGGAAATGTGTCAGATAACCTTGTTAAATGAGATATTTGATTTTCTCTTTGTCCTCATTTCGATTTCGTTTTAATGACCTTTTTCTGATCTTATATAACAGATAATACATATTACAACAACTATTAACTTTTTTAAGGTGAAGAATCTGGAGAAATGTTGAAGATGAAGAGAGAAAGAAAGAGAAAAGGAAAGAGGAAGAGTGAGAGAGAGAGAGAAAGAAAAAGAGACAAGAAAGAGAAAGTTAACGAACTCGAAAAAAAAGTTCTAACAAAGTTACGAATTCACGATAACCTTAACAACGAACGCGCGTGTTGCAAAGGGAGAGAAAGTGAAAGTCGACCTGGACTGACCTCCAAAAATTTTTTTTTTCTCTCTCTCTCTCTCGTTAGAACCTTTTT